TGACCCTAGACCACAGGGAGGGATATAAAATGACAACTTTTGCACAAAAAATGAATTTTTTCAACTTAAACTTTGAAAGTATTCCGGAAATACTGACATTTTTATAAATATCTTAGATTAAAATTAACGTAATGTACTTTATTATGCAAAAAAAAAAATTTCGGACTTTAAATTATCTTCACGATGAAAATGGCTACCGAATGCTATTATTGTGTGAAAATTCTCAGGAACCCGTTTCCTGACTTACTGAACACACTGTATATTCTTACCGCCGTTTATACCTCAGGTTGGGTCTAATGGGTAATGTTAGTCTGACCCGCCCGCCCACAAAACACGGCTTTACCTAGTGCATGATACGTTTACGTACTTTAGTCGTTTTACTTGTATATATGTATATATTCTAATTACTATTAAAATTTATATATCAACACGCTTTATTCTAATTAAAAGATATAAAGTATTCATTCCAATTACGCGGGCTAATTTCCGTATCGTCATTTTTCTCCACTACCTCCATGTTCCGGGAGTGGGTAATTTGCGCGCCTGCTACTTTCCTTAGATGTGATAGCCGTTTCTCAGACTCCCTCTCCGGAATCGAACTCTGATTTCCCGTTACACGTAAAAACCAATATATTGATAGTAACTACTATCATAACATGAAACTAAAAAGTCAAACATAAACCTTTTCCTGTGGGCTTGTCAAGGGTCAAATGTTAACAAAAATATTTAAAATTATGGGTGAATACCTGAGGTATCTATAAAAAAAATTATATTGATTCGGTAATTTTTAAAAAAGTTATGCCAATTTTAAGTAAAAAAACCCAACACAGGGGGGTCGCGGCACAGTGGTGACGTGGCATAGTTGGATCAAGTATAATGATATCTGACAGTGATTAAAATCACCGTAAAAAAAAACGCTTCGATTCAAATCTTTAGATAGTGTTTAATTTTAAAAAATTGGTGGATTATTCCAAAAGCTACATGATCTGCTAGTACCTTATTAATATCCTGATTAAGATAAAGTATTTCGAATGAAAAAGGTATTATTAAAAAATATTATTTCTCATAAAAAAATTGTGTTGATCCATACACTTTTCAATAAGTTATAGCATTATAAAATTAAAAATGTGAAAAATAAAATCGATTTATTTATTATATTGTGGCATATGTTTATTTATATTCGGCAAGTCCGATTTATTTATTATTTTGTGGCATACTTATATACTTAAATGTATACTATTATTTATATACGGCAAGTCCGATTGATTTATTATTTTGTGGCATATTTTTTACTTAAATTCGGCAAAGTCCGACTTAGTTCATTAGAACATTATTATATATTATTTTATTCGGTATAACCGATTTTGTGGCATATTTATATTACTTATTATTTTCGGTAAATCCGATAATTTGATTTGGCATATATTTTATTATTATTCTCGGCAAGTCCGTTGATTAATTTAATTTGTGCCATATATATGGCCAGTCCGATACGTTACGTTATGGCATATTTGAATTATTTTATTTGAAAATTATGGCTTACTTATAATGTTAATTTTAA